GCATTTTAAAAATTCCAATACATACTTATACTATGTATTGAAATAAAAAGGTAGTATACAAATACAAAATGTTTTAACAGGGCCTCCAACCCCTGGGCGGATGCAGGATTTGGTGGCAGGGGGTGTGAGAGTCCACACCACCTCAGCCCCACCTTGGGGTTTGGGGTGAGAAAATTGAGAGAATATGGAACTCTAGGTGCCCGGAAATTGACTCTCATAACTTAAAAATATTACCGGTAATTCATATCAACAATACGATACAGTACAATAATTTTTCTTAATACAATTTAGGGTGTTTGATCGCACTGTCTGCACCCCTGCATCCACCCCAAAACCCACTGCTGCTAAAGTAAACTAGTGCTTCCTAATTACCTATTCTGACAATTTAGTGCCCCATGTTTGATAAATTCTTGATTCGCCTCTGCTCTTGGTAGTAAATTGAGCAGTACCAAAAAACAACCTTGTTCTTTTTCCAAAAACCATATTGCATTCTTTAGCATACAGATGGGACATATATTGGTACAGTAGCTTCTGAAAGACTATGTTCTGTACTATACAGTACTGTACCTAGTATTTCAAAGTAGGAGCACCTTGTGGCTAGCGTCTCAAGATCGCCATGGTTCAGCACCAGTTATCTGTGACTCGACCCATGCAACATCCCTTAGAATGCAGTATATAATAGGAAGCCTGCATGATTAGATTCAATATATGGGTAAAATGATTGTAGGCCTAACGCCGTCCAACTTTAAGGGTGAGGAAGTGTGTCCGATCGATTTAACAAGAGGACCAATCTCACTGTACTTCACTAGATTTGAGATAAATATATGAGACAATAGTATGAGACAATATTTCACATCCCCATGCATCTATTTTTAACATTATCAGTCTCAAAATGTCAAATTACTACGCACACTGTTGATTTCCTATTCCCATTGGCTGAATGCACTGAACTTGTACTATTGTGCCCCAAACTTGCATCTTCCAATTGACATTCCAGAATTTTAATCTGTTTCTTAAGGTCTGCTTCTTTTCTCTCAAATTCTTCTTCCAATTTCTAAAAAACAAATAACAAATTTCATATACTAGAATCCTGTTTAAAAGTATTGTACATATATATATATAGGAGCAAGATATTATAAATCAAACATAGTTCATCAATGATAGTTTCTTATTATAGTTGCATGAAATGAGGTCTGGTGCTATTTGAACCTCTCTCGCTATGTCGGCAAGCCTCATACTGTTTAGACCACAGAGGCCCGTACGATATTGTTATGAATTTATATATATATATATATATATATATATATCTAATTATCATAAAAAGTAAAGTATAATATGATTGGTCGACATAATTATTGTAATAGCCAACTTATATTTTGTTTGTCACACATGCTGAAGAAGACCCGAGGACGGGTTGAAATATTCATGTTTTGAATAAAATTTGTGTTCTAAGTCTACCAAGTCGTTGACATCTCATCGTCTTTTTCA